GTGAACAGGCCTAATTTATTCGGCCTTTCATCATATGGTTTATTTCGGAGACCAACCACTCCTTTTGTTGCCCGTCGTTGGACTCTTTCCAATAGGTTGGCGTCTCTTCTCAGCATTGGGGGTGCAATAATATTATGCACCTCAAGGTGTGGCCTTACGTATGTTTTGTACAACCTTAGAAAGAGCTCAGGAGTGAGTGCACCTAACTGTCTATGCGTAAAGTGTATAACCGCGTATGCCCTCACTACATCCCCCGTGTAATTTACGCTTGTGACCATTTTTTCCGTTAGAACTAGACCTAAGTCGCGTTCCGACGTTGTGCGGGACAAGCTTTCATTGCACGGGGTGTAACTTGCATTCTGCAGTCTACAGGTGCGCAATTTCACTACTTTGCACTTTTTCAGGTTGAAAATCATGCCACTAGCCACCGCCCAGTCTTCCAGAAGGTTTAGGTCTTCCTGTAGCCTATCTGAGTCCCCCGGACACTTTCTTCCCCACCATATTTTTGCTCCGTCATCGTATAGGAGAGTCGGGCAGTTCAGACGGCGTGGTAGATCATTGATGAAAATGAAAACATCAGTGGTCCCTTGATAGCACCTGCAACACTCCTGATGATGATCTGTGCCAATATGATCGGACTGGGTTAACCTTAGTGGAAAATTGCCTGTCGTCTAGGTAGTCCTTTACCCATGACAGACGTGGTTCACCTATACCTGTCTGGCTTATTTTATGTAGGAGAAGGTCATGGTGAACAGTGTCAAATGCATTCTCAAAGTCTAGGAAGACCACATGGACTGGTACATTCATATCCTAGCATGATGTCCAGTCGTCCCAAGCTGATAGTAGGTTTGTAACGCAGGATCTGCCTTTTCTGAAACCATGTTGGGCTTCATGTAATGTATTAGTCCTATCGAAATATTCCCTGATGTGGTCGTCAATAATACTTTCCAGTACTTTTGATGCCACTGGGAGTAGAGCTACTGGTCTATAACTAGTAGAGTTTTACCTGTCCCCACCTTCGAAGATTGGAGAGAGGATGGCTGTTTTCCACTCCCTTGGCAGTGTCCCCGAATCCATTGAGTGTTGGAACAAGTCGCACAGGGGTCTACAGAGAGCTTCGGCGCACTGTTTCAGAACAGATGGCCTGATGTCGTCACAACCTGGGGACTTCCCAGGTGTGAGTCGCTGTAGCTTCCTTAGTGCTATTGCAGGGTTTATTTGGAAAGTAGCCGCTAGGTCTTCCTCCTTTGAAATAGTGGTGCCACCATTTTGGTCCGTAACTGTAATATCCACATTGCTGTTTATCTGTTCAGCGAAGGCTTAACTGAATGTTTCAGCTATCTCCAGACTAGTGAGATATTGACCGTTTGGGCCTACTAAGGTTCATGCCTCCTGGCTTTTGTGGATTTTCTTTCCGACATGAATCGGTACAAATTTTGGGGGTTTGCTATGAGTTGTTTAGCAAGGTTAGCCTGGAATGACCTCCTGTCCCTCCTGACTCTTGCATTACACCGGTTCCTGAGTTCGAGGTATGCATCGTTGTCGGTCTGACTCTTAGATACACGCCACGTAAACCAAGCCTTCCGCTTTGCTTGCAGAATACGTTGAGTGCCTCTCTTCATCCATGACGTCTTTCTCTTGGGCTGTGTTGTGACTAAAGGGACGGTATCAGAGATTGCCCAATGAATAATGTTTTTTACCACTTCCGAGTGTTCATCCACAGATAGGTCGTCCCATGCTAAGGGCCAGTCTGCGTCAGACAAGAGCCTCCGCATTTCAGCATAGTCAGCCTTGCTGTAACAGACATGGTCGCGTAACATCCCACTGTAAACGGTCAAGGAGAACAAGATCGAAACCTATGACTGCATGATCACTACTTCCTAGAGTAGTCATGATCTGGACCTTTTCGACGAGTAGTTTGTCACTAGTCAGGAAATAGTCTAGTTTTGATGACATGATTAATGATCTCTTGGTGTTCGTTTCGTATTGATTTGAAACAATTCTAGATTATTAATGGGTTTTATTACAATATTTCCTGGGAACTACTGCCTCATCTGTGTACTCGATGGCATTGACTGCCAGACAATTCCTCAATAAGACTGATAGTATCTATGGATAAAGTGGTACTAAGCAAGTGGGGAGGTGGTTGAAACTATGGACAGACCAAAATAATGCAAGGTAAGGCAATAATAATAATAATAATAATAGTATATTCTCATTTTGTACATGAGAGACGCCAGTTTACAGGCATCATCAATATGATAAATTACATATACGATTAGCAATCATAATTAATAATAATGTTTTAATAAAGTACACATTTTTTCCTACTTGTGTAGGACACACCAAATATACAGGCATGGATAAGCATTAATTAAATTTCATAAATTCGGTTTATGGTTAAGTTACATGGTTGCTGGCGTTTTTGTTTTAATAATAATTATAATAATGTATATTCTCATATAAACATATAAATTTACATGAAAATGCATGCCATTTTTTTAGGTCTGTGGGAACAATATGATAACCAGTCATTCAATGGAGCACATCATGAAATATAGGAATATTGACTTCGCATTAACAAAAAAACCCAAGTAAGTTTTGGATGGATTAAAAATACTTGGGAAAAAATAAAGCTTGAAGTTATTCCACAATATAACAAGTCATTCAATGGAGCACATCATGAAATATAGGAATATTGTCTTCGCATTAACAAAAAAACCCAAGTAAGTTTTGGATGGATTAAAAATACTTGGGAAAAAATAAAGCTTGAAGTAATTCCTCAATATAACCTGGGTGTGTACAAATCCGAATCTCATTTTTGATTTGATTTATATCCAAATTGGGTAATAAGGAAGCTATTTTTACAGATACGATCAGTTATGTTATAAGATACAAAAAAAAAAAAAAAAAAAAAAAAAAAAATTTTCCATTGGTATAAGAGTATATTCCACAAATGTAATCCAGGTTGCGTCGTGGAGAAAGTTAATTCGTTATTAACCAGGCAACTGAAAGATACGGGACCAATAATGTTTGCAGATCATTTGTCATTGTAAATGGTCAAATATCCACATTATTCATTCTCATTCAAAAAGTCAAATGGAAGCTGAAATGGTGAGAGAAAAAAGAAGACAAACAACAGCAACGCAAAAGAAAGCAACGGGAGTCCTTAAGGAGTGATTAATAAATATATACACATATATTCTGTTTAGTAACTGTGGTTATTTTGGTACACAAACTAACTAGTCCCGTTATGCTAACTTTTATATTATGTGTGAACTAATATTACTGTCCTGTGTAGAAATGTTAATCATCTAGTTCCAATAATATTAAAATTTATAATTGTAGTTTGCTGTAACTACACGTTTAAACAACTTAAAATATCTATGTAGGGTGAAAAAGAGGGTGTAAGAGTCAGACGTATAAGTGCATTGTCATCTTTGAGCAGTCTGGTGACTGAGGAGATGAACACTGGAAGTGTGTTTGCATCGCGCACATTAGCTGGTAGTCTATTCCAAATGACTGAAAACTTATTTAAGAAGAAGTTGTACCGCACGTAAGTCTGACAGTGCTCCATAGCAGCTAGGTTGTGATGATTTCTAAGATTGTAACTGACGACAGCGGTAGGTTTAGTTATTGGCTCGGAGGAATGCAAGAGAAGATTAGTTAGCTTATAGTAAAAGATTAGGTTTAGCTTAAGGCGTCTTTTCCAGAGGGGTTCTAATCTTAGTCTTACGCATCTCTCATGGTATTCCAGACTACTTTCTAAACCAAGAGTTCTTGAGGTAAACTGCCGTTGCACTCCCTCTAATTTAAGCTTGTCATTTTGTCTTAGTCCGCTAAGAATAAACGGGCAGTATTCTAAGATAGGTCGGACACATACTTTGTATAATAAAACCCTAGTTTCACAACAAAAGAAATTGCGTGTTATGCATCCTATCAGCCTTCGCGTTTTACGTCTGGCATAATCAGTCTGTTCAGCGAACGTTAGGTTACTAGAGTATCTAATACCGAGATCTACGACTGAATTGAGCTTAGCTAGTTTTCGCCCATTTATTTCAAGGTTTAGATCAAGCTTACTGTTGCCGATACAAATCCAGCCGCATTTGTCAATGTTAAAATTTAGGCAGGATTCAGCACACCACGTTGCAAGGCTACTTAGTTCAAGATGTATTTTATCTACCATATCGCTTAATTCATGAGTGTAGCAGGAGTAGACGACTTTGAGGTCGTCAGCATATAGGAATGGTTTACCTGAGGTGAAGCACTTGCAAATGCTGTTAATGTAAACTGTGAATAAAAGTGGACCTAGGACACTACCTTGCACGACCCCACTTGAGATCTGCCTAGGGTGAGACAATACAGATCCAACTTTGGTTATTTGTACCCTGTTGCTTAGAAATGATTTTAACCAGTTCAGTAATGGGTTGCGAATTCCACAAGAGTACAGCTTCTCAAAGAGAATACTGTGAGATACCATGTCAAATGCCCTAGATATATCGAAGTAGAGAACAACGACTAGCTTACGTGCTTCGCGATTACTAGTGATGCAGTTGAAAAAGTCGAAGTGGCAAGTAACGCAGGATCTATTTTTGAGAAATCCGTGTTGAGACCTTGTAACAAGATCCTCCCTAATTAGGTAGTCTGACAATTGATCCTTTACAACTTTCTCCATGATTCGTGAGATAACTGGGGTTATATTTATGGGTCTGTAATTGCGGACGTTTGCCCTATCACCAGATTTGTAATGTGGAATTATGAAGCTAGTTTTCCACTCACTAGGGTAAGTGCCAGTGTCCATAGATATTGAGAAGAATTTAAGAAGTAACAGGGTATATCACACCCACTGTTTTTGAAAATTATCGAAGCGAGGCCATCCGGTCCCGTACTAGTGGAAGGTTTAAGGCTTTTAATTGCTTGTACTATTAACTGATTAGTGAACACAATGCTTTCAAGGGAAGAGATAGTAAGGGGAGCGGTTTCACCAGGCATATGTGTTTCTAAACTAAAGTTTGCAAACCAATCACTGAAAGTTCACAGATAGTGGCAGGTTCATTGTAGATTACTTTGTCGTGAAGTAAGTATGGGATTTCCCTCGCTGACTGCATTCGTTTTTTAAGAAGTGCCGTTAAGTTATAAACTTTGGAGGTACTTTCAAGTGCCGTTAACTCTTCGTCGAGGTCCTTTTGAGAACGTAGGCGCTTGATAGATTCAAGAGACTCGTGGATTGAGAGCAATAGTGATATGTCCTTAGTGGAATAGTACTGTTTCTTCAGTTTCCTTAACTTATTACGGTGTGCCCTTGGAATATATTCAGTTCGGTGTCTACTTAATTTCACTATTTTATTTGGGGCAACTGTATCTAGACAAAGGGTAACATTCCTGTAAAACAGGGTTACTAAGGCCTCCAGGGAGTCAGTGGTAAAATAGTCATCCCATTGACAGAGTCGAATAAGTTCTTGGACTAATCCCCAGTCTGTATATTTGTAACTACGACATATTGTGCTTCCTGAGTCTTGTTTGTTTCCTGTATTTAGTGGTGAGAAAGGCAGAGAGCAGAGTACCATTCTATGGTCACTACTGGAAAATCTATTACCAACATAAGTGGATACTGGGATTGTGTCATGACAAAAAACAAGGTCCAAAATGTTGTCCCCACGAGTAGGTGTCTGGACGTGTTGTTGCCATCCATAACAGTCTATAGTGGCAAGTAATTCGTCGAAGCGTTGGGGGCCGGAACTAGTTAGCCAATTGACTTCTGGAAGATTGAAGTCCCCTGCAATTATTTTGTAATTAGCACTAAACGAGGATGCATGTGCAAACGATTTAGCTAATAACGCATCAGTTTCTTTTGTTGCGCTTGGTGCTCGATAAACACAGCCTATGAGAAGTTTGTACTTATCTCCATGTAAGACAACCCAGAGTGAGTCAGGTACATTATTCATTGTTTCATCTTCCACCTTACTGACTACAAATGAGTTATGTATATATATGAGACATCCTCCACCACGCTTGCAATCTCTGTTTGCACGGTGTACAGTGTAATCATCGATACCTATATGCACATCAAGTACTGAGGATGAGCACCATGACTCAGTAATCAGAGCTACAGTAGGCTTGGCGACTAATAATAATGTCCTTAGTTCAGATATCTTATTGATTAAGGAGCGTGCATTAATTAGCAATATCGTGAATAAGTCACGGGATACTACAAACTGGCTTAAAATGTCACCATAACCTAAATCTATTTGTGCGTCAGCACCGCAAGAATTTATGAATGAAAAGGAGGTCGGACTGGGTGTCTGCACATCGGAGTTGGTGTGCAATGAGGTGGTCCTAGGTGCCATGGGTCGTACCAGTGATTCAGGACACCTGGAAAATTTACCATGTGTTCCTGGATATAAGGGTAGTACAGGTTGGGCCTAGGTTGGCGGTTAAAAGGCATAGCATCAGAAGGTCTACCCATCCAACTGCTATTCGTCATACCGGTATACACCTTCGGGTTGTTTTTATAACTTAAAGGGAATTGTGAAGGAAGGTGCTTTGGCTGCAAGACTTTAGGAGTCTTGGAGCCTGACTTTCTATAAGGTGGAGCATGCGGAACACCTCCAGATGTACTTATGTTTCGAGAGGAGTTTTTCGTAACAAGTGATGGTTTGTTGGCATTCTTACTCTCAGCAGGCTTATTGAATACAAAGTATTCTTCCCCATCATTAGTCTCAACCCTGCGAAATTTGTTCATCGTGGTGAGGTTACTACGTTTGGGGGGAAATTTCTTAGAACAACTTGCAGAAGTTCTAGTCATTTTAACATCTTTCGATGAGGCTTTGTTTACAGGGGTACTGGTATCTAAATCAGTTCCTAGTTCCATTGGCAGGTGTGGTTGTTGTGTAGTTTGCTGAATGCTAGTTTCAGCACTAGGTGTCTGTTGCTGTGCACGATCCTTATTTGGTAAATCAAAGCTAGAGCTAGAGGAGGTGACCAGGTTATTACTACGCATTATTCTGCGCTGACACGGTGTTTTATCCTGAGCTACGGTTATAGACTTATAACTGCTATTCAGTCTTAAGTGATCCTGACATTTAGTAAACTTACTAGCATCAAGGGAATTACTGAATTTAAAAATGATTGGGCAATTAGCCTGGTTAGACTTTTTACGAAGTCGTTTGCATTCACATGGAACACTAGCCATGCCGCAACAAATCAGGATTTTGTGTCTTACAGTTTTCAGGGGCAGAGAGTCTGGGACGTTGTAAACTATAGCTTGGTGAGAAGAGGTTATACGCTTCATCACCTCCGTAGCCAAGCAGTCAATCAGATTTTCAGCTTTATTTAGGTTGTCTGGAGATATTTTAGGATGCCTTTCTAAAAGACAGGCTATTGGGTCTAAATTCAAAAGCTTATTTTGAGTTACATCCAGTAAACACTTAACCTGGCCAATATCAGAACGGCTCTCCGTGGTATTTGAGATTGGCAGTGACATACTATCAAACTGATCTAATTTTTTCTGAATTTCACTTACTTGCCTCTGCATATCTTTCAAAAGGAGGTTTAGTTTACAGAACTCAGAGTTCTCTAACAGAACATCTTTCACCTGTATCACAGGAGTGAGATCTGCACTCAAACCATTTTGAGAGCTAGTAGTTGATACTGTATTACGAGGCGGTAATGCAGTTATAACCGAATTTAAGCCACTATCTAAAACAATTGTGTTTCTACGAACACGTTTTTTAGAGATTTGGACCATAATTTCAAGAATTATATGACAATAAGCAGTAAATAAATTTCAGAGCAAACACGTGCAAAAATGTCACCAATTTCGAACGTACCGCCAGAATGAAGCGAAAATGCCTAACTCTAAGACTAAGGAAAATATGCCCCTAAATCAAGAGGAATGGTCTTAATGTCCGGATTAGAGTGAGGAGATATGAATTTACAACGAAAACGAAAAGAACGACATCCATTAAATTGGAATAAAGGAACTGAAACAACATGGTGAAACGCGAATTCTTAGCAACGGTGTTAAAACTAGTCTGCTTCCTCAGTGAATGCGCTGGGACCTAATTTATTTCCATGTTTCCTCAGACTTCTCTCTAAACTGTCAACCAATGAAGTTAATCTCATAAGTGACAAACCCTATGGAAAAGTTGGATTATATCCCTAGAGAGCTGCCCCCATAGGGTTACGTCGTGGGATAGTAATTTGCCTTGATTCGGGCGATTTAAGCTGTGCACTGTTTTGCACGCTGTGATTAGTTCACCCCTGGTGCTGCAGTAGCTAATAGTAAGCGGAACCAGATTTCTAAGTCGATTGTTAGATAGTCAGCATTTCAGCCTGATGAAGGTTTTAACCGCTCTCTTCTCCCAGGAGACACGTATCACCTTTTAGAAATGGTGGTGAAGGGACTTTATGTACCTCTTCACATAGTTTTGCCTACGTTTTTTACGATTGCAAGCAAATTCCACGTTTAAGTGAGTCTAGCAGCCTACGCACTAATCAGAATGGTGTAGCAGCTTTGATCATATCTCCTAAGTAGTTGGCGCGTACACATCTCTCAGGAGTAGCCTCGCATTCAGTATCCTTCACCCTTTTCACGGTCTTTTTATTCTCTTGGTGTTTACCATTGGTTGTTTTGCAAATACTTTAGACATTTCCTGAATTACAAAGTAGACTGCTTTAATCCTTCTAGATGTATCAATTAGAAGAGTGTCCATTTACCATTATGGGAATATGCAGTTTACTGTAGTAAACAGCAGCTTTTAGGACGTACAGTTCCTCATGTATTCGAGAGAAGGAGAAAGCATTACAAATACAGGATGTAACAGAAGAATAGAAGCAGATGGGATGAGCATATAGACAGGGTAGAAATCTGTGAAAAAATAGAACACAAGCCAAGATAAATGTAAATGAATTGAGTTTTAAAAAAGAATACCTGTAGCGACTGTTTGGTCTCCTGTAACTTAACTGCCTCCACACCGGGTGTTTATAGACCACTAGCTTCTGCAAAAACATCTTATCTCCTTTTGAAGCTACTAGCTGACAAGGCAACCTCATTTTCAACTATGAAACATTTCGCAAGTGAAACTGTTTTTGGAGTAAAGAAGCCAAACCGCATGTGTTATCCCCCTCTAATGGGTTGTTAATTTGACATTAAAGCAAGATATGTCATTTCGCCCCACGTTGTGAGTTGTCTTCCAAACAGCCATCAAGCTGCAGGTGATTCTGCTGTATCTATCAGTCCACGAATCTTTATTTCGGGTTTTCGCGTCATATTGTTGTCTTTTGAGACTATTTACAGTCTCAGGTGCTTTTCATCTTACTTTCTAAAACAGGTTGGCGCTTGTTTCGAGAAGTTGTGGTACGATAGTATGGTGTTATCGACATGAGTTTCTGTTGGCTTGGTTGGTTTGATGTGCGCCTGTAATATCACACTTTCAAAAAATTCTTCCCAATGGACCCTGCTATTTGTAATGTTGCAGGCGGTGGTCTGGTTGCTGCACCCTTGCAGTAACTAGATGTTTGTCATTCCTTTTCCTCACTCTGCTTCTGCAGAGTCTGTATTGTGAACGCATTTTCACGTTCTTTAACACTTGCACCACTCGTTACACAGCTGCAGGAGGTTTGTTGTACAGAACTGACATATCTTCTGCGTTTATTCTGATGAAGTGTGTTGTCTCTGTCAGGTGTTTCACATTGCCTGGATGCCTGGTTTTCTAGTCCAATAGTCTGCAACACAGTCATGGGTCAAAAAGACCAGGAAGGTTTGGCCTAGGAGTAGTGGCCTTTTCCCGTCAAAACAGTGCAATCGCCACAGAAAATCGAAGGTACGGCGAAAACAAAAAGAAAACCTATTATTCTCTAGACTTGTAAAGGCTGGATGACGCGCGCTGGTGAAATACCCCTGTCAGCCATCTCTCAGAAACTATCAATGCCCAGCTCTTACTACTCTGGACGTTACGCTGTCCCTGGAAGACTTTTAGATACACTTTATATTAACCAACGCGAAAACCAGGACACAGATTGGCGACCCTAGAATCCTTTATTCTTACGTCAACATGTAACCAACAATAAGATTATTATATACAAGGTCTAAGAATAAATGTTATAACAGTAAATCACGATAATACTTCTGATAGTTTTCTGTCTTCAGATGAGCAGTGAACGATGAGACGATGACTGTTGGATTGATGACCCCCGCGAAAAATATAGAGTTGAGTTTGAGCCAAACAACCATGGACTGATCGTTCAATCTTCGACTACATTGACAACCCCAGGAGATTGACCAACTGATATGCCTTCTTTCCATTTAAGCGGAAGTAGACATGGGGACATGGGACATCCGCACTGTATTTGAAATTTTTGAGACATAGAATCAAAGGAAAGGCTATTACGTTTCCGTGTGGTATCCCTTAGGTCCCTCTTTAGTCAGGAGGCCTCAGTATACCTAAGTGCTTTAGTATTATCAGCCGTCCAGTATCCAATATCGTTTTTAGGAGCTGGTGTAAACTAATTTGACTTCTTTGTGCTCGCTTCTTGATTAAAGTAAAGGCTCCTGATCTTCAATAAACTTCTGAGTAGTTTGTCCGTCCACTCGACTGTTGCAGCATTGGTTGACTCCCAAAGGAGTAGTACTGGGATTAATTATATGTTGTTTGTAGCATGAGGTGTGTTAAGACTGTTACTAATGTGAATGGAGTTGATCCTCTCACTTTCACCAGTTATGCCTCCGCTTTCATCGTCAAAAGAAAAGAGATAATAATAATATTAGATATAATTAGTGTAGGTTATGCAGGCTAAAAGACAGAAAAAGAAATAAGGAAGGCCATCTGAATCTGAATTTGAACTATATATATATATGGATACACATATGTGCATATTTTATTTTTATTTTTGATTACAGCTTGATTCCACAACGTATTTTTCGTACAAGTATGGGATTTTCAGCATGGGATATCGGTAG